AGCAGTAGGAGTAGTAGTAGTAGTAGTAGTAGTGGTAGTAGTAGTATTCGTCGTCGTCGTCGTCGTCGTCGTCGTCGTCGTAGTAGTAGTAGTAGTAGAGTCGTGGTAGTAGTAGTAGTAGTAGTAGTAGTAGTAGTAGTAATCAGACAGGACAGAACAGTCTTGATTTTCGGCCTTCAGGAAAGCCGCTGCTCTCAAGCCCAACGTCTTTGCTGCAGCTGGTTTCGGAGGTCTTGCAGCAAAGAGAGCTCGCTGCTTGGCCAACACCGGAGTTTTCGACTCATCACCAGCAGTGTTTCTCATGGCCGTGTCGTTTTGGCTTGTTCTGTCCATTGATGTGCGAAGCTGTCAGGATGCCAGTGAAATGCGCCTGGGCATGCATACCGTGGTTTGAAAAGGTTGCCAGAAGAACTCTGTCAACAAGTTTGCATTGTGAATGTATTACTTTCGATCGATTCGTACAGGACGTCTTGAAGCCGCAACTTGTAGAGAGGGTGACTAGAGACAAAGTGCCACCTTGCAATCCACCTTTAGTTCTGAACTCGTGGGCGGGTTGTTTGAGACATCAGAACATTTTGCTGATTCATTGACCTTCCTCCAGTGACTCGCTTGTTGCTGCCATGTCATGTCCTCGTTTGTGGGACCCCAATGTGGGGTAGGCATGCTAGGCGTTGTGCTATAAACCTCAAAATTGAAAGCTTTTACGCCTCAGGACAACAGCAAACAGGGGACCCGCCAACTCCCGAGTAAGTAAAGACCGAGGTCTCGAGAAAAGCTGACAAAGGTTTTCCGGTCGGAGCTCACACGCCAGCGTACGGAGGCCCCGTGCATGCACAGCTATGTGGCAGTTGTCATATTGACAGCCACTTTACTCCGGCTTTTGGGCTGGTTTATTCTTTGGCGAAAGGGATGGATTTATTGAAGCATCAGGGCAGGGAAAATCTTCTTTGGCTTGGGACGGAGAAGGATGTGGAAGGTTTGCGGAAGTCCGGAAGCGAAAGCCTTGATGCTTTTGGGACACAGAGACGTGATTCACGTATGCCATGGTGTGCCCATCAAAGTCGGTCGCACAACCTCCGTTGCTGACCAAGTCAAAACCGTGCCCCCGAAAGCTATGGCCGTCCTTACCACATCGAGAATGCAAGAACCCGTCCGCTACAGGTCAATCCAAACTCTACGCCGCAACCACCCCTTCTGCGCAACCCTCTCTGCCAATTATTGCGTGTACATCCGCTCCTCGACGTGTTGGCATGATCTACAAGCACTGCAATTCTCGCTTCTCCAGAATATGTTGGAAAAACAGATCGAGAACTTCTGCTGGCTTGAGTAAAACATGTCTCGTCCTACTGCACACTTGGGCATGCGGAATTCGTGCAGGGGTCTGCGACGACTGCTTGAACATCGGTGTAATGAGAATGATTTTCAGGAACATTGGGTAGTTATGTAAACAAACGATGTTAACACTCGTGCTGATACTGCTGCTGCTTCTGCTGCTGCTGCTAGTAATACCAAAAACAAGAGCAGTAGCACCAGCACTAGCACTAGCAGTAGCAACAGCAGTTCCAACACTGGCTATGATCCTGCTGGTGATTATGATCGTAATGACTGTCATCGTCACAACAACAGTACTAATGAATATAAGCTCTGATATCAGTGGTAGTACGATGAATAAGACTCATCGTCACAATCATGACAAGAAATCCAAACAGGAATCACAGTAGTGACCATAGTGACAGTAATGATCGTAGTAATGGTCGTAGTAATCATCATAACCCTAGTCCTTGCCAGGTCTTGAGTCTCGTCATGGCCACTTGTTCTGCACTTTGGAAGTTTCAGGTTGACGATTGTGGTCGGTTGTGGGATGATCGAGATGATAATCTGATCAAGTCAGCTGAGCCCGACAAAATCGCCAGCATTCCGCAGAGAAAAAGCCAGAAAGAAAGATAGATGGACAGGAAGATACTGTAGGCGGCGGGGTGATCCGCAGGTAGGGAGGCAGGTGGGTGGGGTGGGTGGGTGGGTGGGTTCCGCCAGTTCGTGTCTCGGGGGTTCGGGTTCTGATCTCTGGTCCGGAAAAGGCACTGCTCAAGCAACGGCGGCAACAGCAACGTCAACAACGAGTCTACAACCAACAACCGTGAGGATGTAGAGATGATCACCGTCATGTTCCACACTTGCGTCGTTTCCTCCTCCCCCTCCTCCTCCTCCTCTCCAATCTTCATCAGCATTTTCACCTCCGTCCTGGGAGAGGCAATGCCAACAATAGCTGCAGTAGATACTCGGGAGTCTTGGCGATGTAGGGAAAGCATGGGAGAGGAGGACCTCAGGGACTACTATGACTATGACATACCACCAAAATTCCTAAACCCCGCACCCTAAACCCTAGACCCAGCCAAAGCCCTAAACAAGGACATGCAGCAGGGCCAGATGGACATTAGCGGCCTGCTGGCCTCTGATGATGTCTACGTTGCCTTGGAGGAGTCCCTCCGTTCCCTGGAGGTGCAAAACACAAGTCGTATTACTGTTGCCTTGGTTTCTTTTATTTGTGTTGTTACTAATACTAGTATTACCGTTGCTATTGCTTATGTAATATTTCTATTACTATTGTTGTTACTGATACTGCTACTATTTCTATTACTAGTACTATTACTATTACTATACCTACTACTGTTAGAGTTCAGGGATGAGGGCTTCCAGGGTGTAGGGTTAGGTTCTGAGCATCAAGGCATGTCTCAAGGGCTATGTCCAGGCGCTGGCACGGAGAAGTTATGTAAGAAGCTTTGTTAAGCGGTCGGCAGCACCCGGCTGCCCAAGCCCTTTTGAATTACTCTAGTCGTGACCTGCAAAAGGGTCTGCAGTAGCCAGTGTTCAATAGTGGTTGCCGCGGCTGAAAGCGTCAAGCTGAGCAACGGCCGGCTCTGTGGCTTGCCAATCTGTGTGTTCATTCTGCAGCAGTCCTCGCTTCTAGTACCAATACTACGGTCATGGTGATGATGAGGATGATGACGATGGATGATGGTGATGGTGTTGGTGATGATGGTGATGATGATCATTTTATATCATCACCATGCCAATGATGACCATGTTTATCAGCCTTTAGTACAAATGCTGACGCTAGTCTGCAGCGTGCATTTTCACAGGACATGAGTGCTTTTTTCTATTCTGGTGCCGGTCTCGTGGTCTAGCGGCAGCAACCATGGCATTTCTGGTTCGAGTGAGACTATGGGTCCTCATGTTTGTCATCCCCAAAATGACCATCATCACTATCACCATCATTGCCATCATCATCATCACCATCATCATCATCTTCATCAGCATCATCATCATCATCAGCAGCATCATCATCACCATCACCATCATCATCAACATCATCATCAGCATCATCATCATCATCAACATCATCATCAGCATCATCAACATCATCAACATCATCATCAGCATCATCATCGTCATCATCATCATCATCATCGTTATCATCATCGAATCAAGACCATGGTCATGGTCAATCACATCATCGTCATCATCACCACCCTACGTAACCCGGTCCGCAGGCCACCAGAAGATCCCAGGAAGCTCTGGTGGAGAGCTGGACGCGCCTTTCCAACCACTCAAGCACGGACTCCACGAACTTCACGTGGGTGCAAGAAGAGCTGACTGAGAAGCTTGAGGACGTGGGCTTATGGTTGCGAGTTTAGGATCCGAAAGACTCCGTTAGCTGAGTCATTCTAGGCCTCTCAGGGGACCAAGAACGGTGTTTCTGAACGCTGAAGCTCTTGGAACAGTGGAGTCTACATAATGCCGCAACAGCCTGTATGTATTCGTCTTCTAAGCCTTAGGTCCTTGCGAAGAGCAGTCTTCCGGCTTGATTTTCCCCTTTGCCGCCAGGACTTGCAGAAAGGTTTGACACTGGCAGAAACGTCCACCAAATGGCTGCAGGCACCGACGCAGAACAGCTCTCTGGTCCTGGCAGACCTGACGACTCGAGAGGAGTGGCAAAGGGAGGTTTTTCAATGCTAGGCTCTGCTCTGAGTGGTCTTTCTGGCAAGTCATTGAGTATCTGTATTTTGTAGGGTCCTCTATACTAGCTCGCGGCATTGCACCCGAATCTGGACTCTAAAAGTTGACCTTCGAGTCGAGGCCATAGGAATTCCAGGGCTGGCGCATTGCAGACCCACACAACACTTCAGTGTCTTTTCTTGGCTCTTCAAGCCAGACCATACTCTTGTCGGTCTTTTGGAGGGGGCCTCCACTGGACTAATCGTAAATGGCCACTTTCGAGCCTTGAGCCCTGAAGACCAAACTTCCTGTGCAGTGATGTATGTTTTCAGGCACCCTTGCGTCTGCCTGCATGAGCATACTCTGGTCTACGCGGGCTAGAACATGAGAGACAGGCCACATTTCCTGCGAAATCCTATACCTTCTAGGCCCTAGCAACCTGAAGCCTCTCGGAGCCTTTGTTGAAGCCTCGCATCTCTGGAGGAGATGCGCTGGCTCACGGACCTGACCCTGAAGCTGGGAGAGCGGTGTGGGCGGCTCCGGGCTGGAGCTCTGCTGGTGGAAGAGGCTCCAAGACAGAGTCGGGAGTGTGGGGTTGGAATAAAACCCTAAACCCTAAACCCTGGGGATTTTTTGCCCAAGCCGAAAGAGCCCTCCACAATGCTGTACTTCCGGCACCGGCCGAGACTTTGTCTGTTGATCCGGTCCTATGCCTGACTTCCCTTGCTACTTAGGGGTACTTAGATTTTTTTTTAATCTTTGGCTACTATAAACCCTAAGAAGCAGCAAAAAATATAATTTTTGCTAGGGGTCTAAGTTCAGTATAGGCTAAGGGATATGGCTCTCTGCAACTCCGTCGGGCACCCGGGGCTTCTGAGATTCCTCCAGAAGCTTACCGCACAGACCCTATTGGAGCCGCACAGGCCCGCTTGCCTCTGGTGATCAAAATCAGCTGAGTGGCTCTGTGCCGTCCTTTTGGCGTGAGGTGTTGCTGCGAACCTCAAAGATCTCCTCAGAGCCTCGATGGATGGCGCAGCCCTGCTCTTCATGAGTCCTGCATGAAGGGAGTGTGCAAGACACTCCGAGAGCCGTTGCTCCGGTGCTTGCCCTGCAGATCCCCAGGGCCTGGCCAGGGCTTTGCAAGACGCCTCCACCAACGGCGGCCTTCTATTCGTTGATTGTCGCACTGCATTCCATTCGATAGCCAGACAGGCGCTGTCGGGACAGGAATCGGACCAAAGTGCGGACTTTTTGGACCGATTCGCTGCCGACCTCTTCTCAGAGCCGGCTGATAGACTACGGTTCATCGCGCAGGCAGTAGGACCTAGCCTCTTTCAGCGTCATGACGTGCCGGCGTCTGTCAGAAGAGTAATTCGTGCCATGTTGGACAACACATGGTTCAGCATGTCGGGCAGCTCCAAGGCCCATGTATTCCAGACACGTACTGGCACGGCTCCAGGATAACCCCTCGCTGGTCTGGAATTCCAGAGTATTCGCTCAGGCGATGACCAATCTGGAGCGCTCATTCAAGATGCTGGCAAGGAAGCGCAGTCCAAGGTGCATCAAAGCAGGCAGGCGGCGCAGGTGTTGAAGGTACCACATCTTTGTTGATGACCTTACCATCCCCTTGTTGCGCCCGGGCCGGAAGAACTCATGCAAGCCACTACATATGCCATAAAGGGAGCAACCGCTCGGCATCCGACTTAACCTGTACCCGGGCAAAACCGAATTCCTCCCCTCTTTCCGTGGCCCAGGGAGCAAGAAAGCCAAACAGTACTGGCTCTGCAGTAGGGAGCTTCTTTTCCAGTCCCTATTCAACGCACACGGCACGGACCTACCTGACGTAGTCCGCAGAGCAGCTCTTTCACGGGAGATGACCGTTTTTCTCAAAAGGCTGTACAGAAACTCCGAGCTCTCGGAAAAGGAGGAGACTCACCTGCTTAAGTCCATGCGTGCTGCGCGTTTTGCACACGGTGCCGGCCTGTGGGCATTTTCTACCAAGGCGCAGCAAGATCGTCACCCGGCGTCCTATTACGAGACACCGCGACGTCCTGCGTGCCATCACAGGTATGTCGGTCGAAGGGCTCACCAACACAGACGTTGCGATGATTCCCGACGTGCCCACTTGCACAGAAGCCTGGCATGGAGAACTTTTGCGGCTTCCGGCTGGATCCTTGCCGAAAGACTGCACAGCCTGATTCAGCTGTGGTTGAGCGATGGCTAATGGCATCAGCAAGCGCAACAGGCCCTTGCAGCCGTCGCAAAGCAGCTCGCCTATTCCCTGCCTGCTTTGGACGAAGAAATCCGAGGACAACCAAAGACCGTACGAGGCCTCGTAAAACGATATCTTGCAAGATGTCGTCGAGAACGTGTGCAACTTAAGGAATCCCGTGAGCCTCAGCTGCGCAGTCTCCAAGTCTGATTGCCTGTTGGCTGCTTCTTCGGAACCTGTCCCGCCGAGAAGGGTGCCACACACGTGTTTGAATGCCTTTTTTGTGCACCGACATGTTACCACCCCAAGCAGCCTGCTGTTCGCATCAAGCAGCGTGGGCCAGTGCCTTGGCCGAGGGCACCTCGTGCCAAGTTTGCATGGCGGAATGAATACTGGACCACCAAGCGGTTGCGACAACACTCGCGTCGAGCACCACGATCGAGGCAGCCGACTTCCAGCCCCAGTTTGTTGTCAAGGGACAACTTAGGGTTTGGAAACCTGCCATGAAATTTGCCGGGCCCTCGCCTTGTTGGGCTACCCAACGACCACCTCCGGTTCCTCCTGTACATCCGACCCGCAGTGCAGCACTTTGCAAGACCTCCGGCAAAGACCCGGGAACTGCCGAGCACCCTCGGATCCATCATCGCCCGGAGGGCATTCATCCAGCTCACCTTCGAGGATCTGCTTGTCCATCTGCTGCAAGAGCCTCTGAGGATTCGATCTCTGGTTGATGCCTTGAGCTGGGTCTGCAATTTTGAGAATGCGCAGAGCGCTTCTTGTTTTCGAACCGGAGTTTGGACGGCCTTTGTAAAGCACGGTCGTTGCGTTCTCGGGCCGGATGGCTGCCCCAGCTCTGATCCGAGCAAGGGCCCGCTCGCTCTACCCGCGGCGTGGTCTAGGTGTTTGAGCTGATTGCGAGGACATGTGCATGCGGTGTGCACTCAGAGATTCCAAACCTCACATCAACAAAACCCTGGATTTCGAAAGTTTGGGGTTTAAGTACGGACTTAGGCAATATGGATCAGCACAGTACGGTACTGCAGAATTTACATCAATACGAAGCCTCCGCAGTTATCAACTTTTTCAATTGGGTTGACACCCTGCGCCAGGCGCAAGACAAGGATGCGTTGCTCGACTGCACAGAGTCAGAGTTAGTTTTGGCACTCACCGCAGGTGGTTTTGACACGGAAGTTCTGGGAGGCATCAGGTGTCCTTTCAGCTTTTACCGTGCCACGGGAGTGGACTCCTCGGAGGGCTGCTAAGCAAGACTCAAATGCATCTCGGTGATGGAGTAGTGATGGTAATGGTGATGATGAACATTCTTGCTTCTCATGGCCATTCATGTTTGCTAGTTTATTTGCTGCGGTACTCACTGTTGATGGGAACTCGCTGCCGTCTGAATGCAGTATTCAGTAAGCTAGTGCATGGTCCATGCATCGGTTCCACGGATGACCAAGAACTCGCACCCTAAGCCCTGAACCTGAACCCGAAACTTCCCTCAACCATAGTTTTGCTGGCTTCTACCCGATTTGACCGAGGTCGGAGGGAGCCTACCAAGCCGTCGGAGGCTTGCTGATGGGCCTCCCCGCAGTCGTCGATGAGGAACAGTGCGGCGTCATGAAACACAGCATCAAGAAGAAGTGAGGTGGTTCCGGTTCCGGTATACCCGAAAATAAGTATAGCATGCCCTCTCTTCGGATTCCCGTCTGATACCAGCACAACCTGTCCTCCAACACCATATTCCTCCAACATTCGTGAGTGTCTGAACTGAGCTGTTCTCTGCTGGTCACATGCCGCGTGCCTGTTGAAAATACTGTTCCTGCCACGGCGAGTACTCGTACCACTGTTACTGTTGTTACCAGATCGGCAGCATGCCAGCCTGCGAGGACCTGGTCGCCCTCAGTCAGACCTGGACGAAGCGCGTGCAGCTGAATCTGGAGAAGCGGCAGAAACTCCATGGCGAGTTGGCGTCTGCGTGACCTGACGGAAATTTCTTTGTATCGAACCAAGACGATGACCGTTCTCGCGATTATTTGGCCTTGATAGCTTGTTAGCTTGGAGTTTGGTGCCAGGTATCGCCGCCTCTCTGTGCATCAGGCTCCCGAAGAGCCGCATCCGTCCAAGGTTTTTCTTTGGCAGTTCATGATCGACACCCTTCGGAGCCCTCTTGAGCCCTTTAATCGTACCCCGATAGTACCCTGATAGAGCTTCTGCGTTGCAGGGCGGACAGAGCGTGAAGTCTGTTTTCGAGGGCGTGGACTCGTTGAAGATCATGTTGGAAGATGCAGAGTTCGCTGAGACAGGAGCACAGGACCGGTGTGACCAAACTGCACAGTTTTCGAAACATCCATTGCCACTGAAAAGTACGTGGGCAGGTGCCGCAGATGCTAGGAGTGGGGTAAAAACACGGCTCAGGACGACATGACCCCCGCTGAGCTCCTCAGCATTCTCCATGCCACTGCTGCGCGTGCTCCCTTGCAGGAAAGGATGCAGGTGGTTTCACGTGGTTTAGGAGCCTAGGGACAGGGACAGGGGCAGGGGCGGAAAAAGCATCGACATAGAGTCATTTGGAAGGATTCACGTTGTGCACTTGCCTGTTCTGGCTTGCCCTACTCAGGTTTTCCAGCAAAGCGATTCTTATCATTGGGTGCGACCCTGAGTTTCTTGGACCTCCACTCATGCCCAGTCGGAGTTCATCGAGGCCATGGTTGGACTGGGCGGCTTAGATTCCATGGCCTCAGAGGCAGTGGTGCACGAGCAGGCAGGGCTCGGGCGTCCCACATACCGCCTGAGATCATGCACGCAGCGAAGCTGTAGGCCGTTCGAGCACAAACAGCCCCTCGCGCTCCTCGGCCCTACAAGGATGAGAAAAGAGGCAAAGGAAGTCGGACATCTCGCTACCGACATCATCACGGCCATCATATCTATCATACAGTAGTCGTCAGCGACAGCGCCAGTCTCGTTCTCTTTCTCCTTATCCCCCTCCACAATATGATCTTCTTCCACTGCATTGTCGGCGTAGTACCAGCAACATCATCTTCATTATCACCACAGTCAGCACAATCATCGCAGCATGTCGTGACATTCTCGTCACCATCATCATAGTATTATCGACTCGCTGGTCGGGGATACCGGCCGAGCATAAATCTTTCGCATATATTGTATCGTGTCTTTGCTTGTCTCAACTGGCAAGGTCGCCGAAGAAACCTCCGGAGAGGATATGATCTCATTCTCAAACACGAACTTGCTGGATGACTTCTCCTCTATGGATGATCTTCAAGGACCTGGGAGCGCCCAGAATGAGAACTAGACAAAGACCGCCTCGCTATGACCGACCGAAGCCCTCCGCGAATCCTCCTCGAGTTGGTAGTTACGTAGTTACTTCCGGATACATTTAAGTTCGGAGTCCAGGACAGATCACGCAGCTGGCAGATTTGGATCAAGAGGTGCAGCTGCTGTTCTCAGGTTCTATCTTCCTGCAGCAAGCGCGTGGCAAGCTCAGGTTGTCAACCAGCTGGCTGAGGGCTTCAAGCTGCCTGCTCATGTCGAGCCTGCTCTGATTGAGGCTGAGGCCACCCAAGCCAAGCGTAGCTGCGTTACCTTGGGATTCGTCAGACGTCTTGGTCCGCGCCGACGCTGAAGCTGCCGACTGCCCCCTGCGTCCGGCAGGGAGACGAGGAGGATATTCTGGAAAGCGGAGAAGAAGAGTTTCGAGAAGAGGCTGGATCCTTGCGCCTTGCGCGTCCAGCAGAAGGGGGCCGGGGAGGGGAGGGAAGTTGGCTTTGATTCGGGTGCCCAAGGATGAAGAAGAGGCTGCGGACGAGCCAGATCTGCCCATCACAGCCGCAACGACAGAGCCTGTCATGCCTCCAGACCCGGGCTTGCCCGCAGTGGAGGCCTCGTCATGGCTGACTTATGGCTCTTCAGGGTTTCTGGCTGCTTTGGGTTTGGGTAGAGCAGGCAAGACTGAAGCAGCTTTCGAGCGTTCCTGCGTCTGACAGAACTTCGTGACATACTGGCCTAGAGAGTTCCGTCCAGCGGCACACTGAACCACAAATGGGGGAACAGTGCAGGAGATCGGTCTCGAACAGGGCGCTGTTGAGCAAGGCCAGGCCGATGCAAGAGTATTGCTGTTCTTGTTTCGTTCATGTCAATCCTTGTGAGTATTATAACTTATAACGAGAAATAAGAACCGCTGCAGCTGTGGCAAGGCACGCAAGAATAAAGATAATGCCACGGTAGCCATGAGCAGCTACCGCGACGTCCTGCGGTATTGGTCGCAGCATTCTCGTTAGGGATACATAGCGCTAGTAACAGCAGCAGCAGCAGCAGCAGCAGCAGCAGCAGCAGCAGCAGCAGCAGCAGTTGTTTGTTGGACGAGGACAGAGAGGAGAAGAGTAGCGTGGTGGAGGAGGTGGCACGAACGGCAATGGTGGAGTTCAGTAGTCGTCTTCGCTGTGGCCTTCTGTGATTGGCAGCAGCAGTGACGGTAGGGGTGGTTGTGCTGTGCTGGTGCTGCCAGCCTAGAGTTTTGATACTACTTCTTCGCCATTGCTGCCTACAAGTGCGAGTAGGCGCAGTGCTGGCAGTCTCAGTAGCAGAAGTAGCTTCTTGCAAGAATGGCCTTTAAAGCTGCGTCCTCCCCCGTTGTTTCAGCGTTACTTTGCACCAAAGAGCATGGCCAGCTCCAGCACGTGCTTCGATGTCAGGACGAGGCATGGGAGATGAAGACTTTGATGCCGAAGCAGACGCTTTGGACTCGGCTGTCGACCAGAGGGAGCTGTTGTAGGCACGGCCTCACGGTGGCCCAGGCAGTTGAAATGCACGAAGACGTTGGAAGCTTTCATGGCAGCGGCTATGAGAGCCTCTTGGACGGCGATGGCTACCAGAGACCAGAGCCTCAAAGAAGGGTTCGAGGCTGTTTCTGAAGTCTCAGGTCCTTCGGGCCCTGGGCTGCCAGAAGCGCCAGAGTCACCACGGACGCCGCGGACGCCGCGGACCCCTTCCAGCCCCAAAAGCAGCGGGAAGCCGAAGGCTTCCAAGGACGCCCAGAGCCCCAAAAGCTCCAAGACCAAGGCTCAGGGCGCTCAGGAGCCGGCCAGCCCGAAGACTCCCAAGAGCCCGGGAAGTCCCCAAAGTCCCCGAAGTCCCCAAAGCCCGAAGAGTCCAAAGAGCCCGAAGCGGTCGACGACCCTCAGGCCAGGCCAAGGTGCCCCAAGAACCTCCGCTCTAAGACCCGTGTGGCCAGGCAAGCGAGCCGTGAGGAGAGCAGCTCACGATCGATCCGAGGCCGCCTGCAACTTGTGTTTGTATGATCCCATCCCCGACTCCGCACGTGCCCCTCAGCACGACTGAGTTCGAGGACAGAAGGAGCCCATGCCGCCCGCAGCCGCGGACGTGGCCCCGCAAGCGGAGCTTCTGGCACAGACAGGGCAGGCGCAAATGGGGCTTCACGACTGGCAGTCACTGGCACACCTTTCGCTTCCAAGAGGCAGAACTGCTGGCCGAGGATGTCTCGGCTACGTGTGCAGCGCTTGAACAGATCTTCTAGACAAGTTCCAGAGCTCGCAGACACCCTGCATCTCAGGTGAAGATCCTGTTAACGATGGTCCGTCCCGGCCCATGTCGCAACCGAGCATGGCTGCCATCTGGACAACGGAAGAGGTCAGCCACCATGGGCTGGAGGCAAGCTTTTTGGACGTGCTGATTTGCAGTGATCGGGGGAAGTGTTCGTGGCAGCTCGGACTCATTTTTAGTGCAGGACCCGGATCCCATGGAGGTGATTGACAGCAACAGGACAATCTCTCCCAGGAGGCCCTCGACTCGGGTTCCCGTGGCGAACCTGATCAAGCAGGACCGGCCTCCCTGCGACAATGGCTCATGCCGGAGTCCTGGTAAAATCGCCGTAAACGTGCTGACGCTTGGAGGATCTCCTTGGTGCCGGCAAGTTGCAGGTGCCGGCGTCAGAAAGTGTCCTATACTACACCCGCTTAAGCTTCGATCGAAGCTGCGGCAGGTCCAGGACGAGCTGGAGGTTCATGCAGACCCGCCGTCCGAAGATCTTGCTGAGAGTGTCCGGGATACAGCCACCATTCCCGGCGACTCCTTGCCGAGCCTCGCAGAAGCTCCGAAAGAAGACATGGGCGCTAAGACTCCTCCTGGGGCAGTGCCGAGTAGAACCGATCTCCAGGCGGGCCCTTTGTTGCCTTGTCCTGCGAGAACTCTTCTAGATGTGAGGCAAAACCTAAGAGGCCACCGTCCCAACCTTTATATGGGGTTATCGCTTTTGGGCAGGCACCTTATCGTTCTGCAGGATTTCCAGCTACCTATCTACAAGCGCTCCATTCGACGTATGAGCGACTGTCTAAACTTCGTCCATCAGTACAACTGTAGTACTGGAAATGCCTCGTTTGGGCTCGTGGCTGGATTGTGCTGGGTTGTAACATAATTTTAGTACCGGAAATGCCTCGTTTTGGCTCCTGGCTGGATTGTGCTGGGTTGTAGTAGTTGTAGTACAACTTTAGTACTGGAAGTGCCTCGTTGTGGCTCCTGGCTGGATCGTGCTGGGTTGTAGTACAACTTTAGTACTGGAAGTGCCTCGTTTTGGCTCTTGCCTAGCAGCTCCGAGAAGGGTGGGGGTTGGGCAGATCACAAACCCACCAAGGACCTCAAATCGAGTCGCACCGGGGAACCCTCCCAAAATCGGCATCTGCAGGCGTAGTGTTAATGCTCCAACTCCTGTTGAAGTTTTTTGTTCTGAAAACCCGCACATTTCGCCCCAGGATGGCATGCCAACCCGCAGCGGTGAGACGGACAACACGTCGCCGAGGCAAAAGAACACCTGGGCTCAGATTCTACAGTGGTCCAAGTCTCGTGATGCGTGTACTTCTACTTTGAGTTGCTATTCCATGTGCGGCTGTTGTTGCAAGTCTTGCCGTTTTCAGTCTTCTCACTCCGACCCGGTTAGGTTTACTCTTGCTGACTGCTATCAGTGTTATTGTTGTCGTCTACCGTTACACCGAGTTACACCTGTCATAACTGCTGCCACTTCTACATTCGATTTTTATGCCCTTGAAAGAGGGATAGTTGCATGCAGGCCACCATTTGCTGCTCCACCTGACGCTGGCGCACAGAAGCAGGAGAAGGTGAGCGATGCAGTAGGAACAGTTGCCGACGGTGTTTTCTTCTTTGAGGCGGCCGTGCCTGATTAGACGAAGCAGTTCCTGCTGACCCTGGTGGCAGTCGGCTGTGTGCCAGGATCAGGCATTGGTGGAAGCGGGCGCGCAGGGGTGCGACGATGCAGCTCGGCCGCGAAAGCAGGGGGCGGTGACAGTGTGATCAAGTTGAAACTCGCAGCCGGAACAAGCTGCTGCCTACAAGCAGGCATGTTTAGTCGAAGGGCGGCATTCGCGTATTCGGAACCGGAGTCGTTTACAGCTTTCCTTCTCTCTAGTAGAATTTCATTTAAACTGAGGTGGGCATAGAGAGCTCAGCCGAGAGTTCGGCGGCGAGCGCCCTCGACCACTTTGCCGACGAAGGGCGTCCTGAAGGAACTGGGGGTGTCTAGCAATCACGTTTCCGTGCGGTTTCAGGGTTTCAGGGTTGGGGGGCTCCTGAGCAAGCAGAGCCTGGTTAGTGTCAGCGATGTTTGGCATCCTTTGATGCCATTGACCATGATATGGTTCCTTGTCGTCTTCGTTGTTATTACATCTCGTATCATTATATCTGACGTAAGGTCCTCGAAATCAGTGCAGTAGTGGCTGCTCTACAGGAAGATCAATATCCTAGAACAAGAAAACAACACAACAAACGAGCAAAAGAAACACACACACACACACGCACACATCCGAATGCGCAGGCCAGATGCAACTGCAAGTGCAGACACGAACAACGACGATGGTCTACGTAACCAAGACGACGACTGCAAATTGCAAACTAAACAGAACCACCACAACCCATACCAAGACTGGGACGAGGAGAGCGGGCCCGTGCGCCCGACCACTGATGAAGACATTGGTGGGTCACCGTGATGACGAAGACATTTATCAGGTGATGATGCCGATGATTTTTATGCGGTGCAACGATAAGAAGAATGCCCAGGCCAGCCACAACTTGATGACAAGGGTATGGTGTGGTGATACAGTGATACAGTGATAGTGGTAGTCGTCATGATGGTTCAATGTTTTGCTGCTAATGGTGGTCGTGGTGATGATGGTATGCTGACACAGATGATGGTGACGATGGTGATCATGACGGTCATGAGGATGATGATGTCGTTCAGGAAGAAGAACATAGTGAGATAATGTGCAACGCACAGATGACAAGATTACACAGGTCGAAAGCACCACTGCGTTGCAGACGATGGTGTGGTGAGTATATTCATGGTGATGACAATCCTCATGACGATGCTGGCCGTGATGATGACGGTGATGACGATGATGATGGTGCTGATAGTGACGATGAAGAAGAGTGTGGGAGGACGTGGATGTTTCTGGTGCTGATGGAGGTGACGCTGGTAAGTGCAACGGACAGTTTGTATAGACGAAGCGCAATGTTGTTGGCCTGAGATGGCATGAATCAGTGTACTGCTGGAAGGCCCCGCCCTCGCAGAGCTCCGTCTGGCGGGCGAAGTGCCGCGAGCGGTCTTGGAGAAGGAGCCACAGGAGCCCAATGCTTCGGACCTGCTGCGACGGCAAGTGTCATCGCCGTCACAGTCGTGCCCTCATTGGAGTTGACTGGGAAGGAGCTCAGGCAGTCTGGAGTTCAGATGTTTCGATAGTGTTTGCGCGGGGATTGTGGTCATTGAACACTCGCCCAAGCTTTGGGTGGCCCCTGCGAGGTATGCTTTTGTTGTACCATGCATCCCGAATCCTGTTGCAGTCGACACCTTCCCTGCGCAACAAGAGCAGAAGTAAACCATTCAAAACTCAGCATGGATTTGCTCTAACCCTGGCCTTCGAATCTCCAATCTCCAAGTTGGCAGCATACTCTTTCAACAAATCCGAAGACTTCCGAGCCGAGGTAGCAGTAAGCCTCACGTAACCCCACAAATGTCAAGCCCAAGCTCTTCTTGCGGAGACGAGGTCCTCACTTCCCGACGTGTCCCCCATGCCTTCTGCAGAGATCCGCAGTGCGGGCATGGTGATGCAGGCGCATGCTCCCTGCGCAGTCCCATCTCTTGCGAAACGATGCGCCTGCAGTCATCGCAGCTACAACATGTACCCTGCAAGCGACTCCACTATGTGGCAACTAGTCTCAAGACCAGCCCAGCAGAAATCCAGCCTGTATCCAAAGAAGTGAGGTCATCACCACAAGCGGCACGCTCCACCTCTTTGTTGCTGCACTGTTTAGGACCCCCGGCCTCCCAGCTCAGACACATTCAGCATTTCCGCATGTTCCACGGCATGTCACAGCGTGTGTGTTCGCCATCTGTAAAGCCATCACCTCCTGGACAGTCCATCCGCTCCGGTGGGGTCAGCTAAGTTGGATAAAAGGCTGATGCAGATAGATTGGGAAGCGGCCACAAAGACTGGCTACGCAGCAGTAAGTGCTTCTGGTTCAGCGGCTGTCTGGCTGCTCTTAAGCCCCAAACAACGAACCTCCGGAGTCGCGACAAGGTATGATGCCACATGTTGGGGCGTTGTTGACAGATATAGCTTGTACACAGGCGTACAGCATGATCAACCCTGCATAGTGATTTCGTCGGAGAATGCACATCTTATATGCACCGACACTCAACGAGCAAAGATGAGAAACATGCAGCGCATACAAACTGCAAGTTGAGCCACCCTCCGTAGCTGTTCTTGCAGATGCCGAGCGAAATACGGAACAACAGATTGAATCAAATCACAGTGGGTCAAAGCATTCCAGTACCAAAGCAGTGGATTGCTGTTGCCGGTGACCGCCAAGAGAATCTTAGCTTAAGAACGGCAAGCGCAGAAGAACATTGTCTTGCAAGACATCCGCAGAGAGCTTCTCATCAGGCCGACCAGACCGAAAGCACCGAGACCCTGGCCACCTGGGTGGCAGTGAACGCCTCAGCTTTCTTCGGAGTTCTTGATCGGCTGTTAATAGTTAAGAATGCCACCCCTCACGGTTCCGGATGTTTGTTTTCCAGGCTTTGCCACAGTTCGACGTCTGTTGAGCATGTTTGTTCGTGTGTGTGTGTGTTGTGTTGAGTTCCACTTTGACATGGGGGCCCTTATTAGGGCTCGCCAAATCCCAAACGGCCAAGCCACAACATGTTGACTCCTAACGAACGCGAGCTGATTGGAGCTACATCTTTCCAAAACTAGTAGCAGAGTTGCAGCTCTGCAACAAATCATGTTCCCTGGGCTATTGCCAACTGGGTTTCGATATGTCCTGCGGAAGGGATGCCCACAACGGAGTGCTACCTTAACGTGCATTGATATTCAAGTCATGCATTCCGTTACAATCATGCATATACACATTATGTATGTACATTATGTATGTATATATACATGTACATATATATATATATATATATATTTTTCTTTTTTTCGTTTACTTGCTTGTTTACACACACACAAACATACATACATACATATATATATATATATGGACATTCATTATGTTATATATGCACATACACATGCACATATAGATGTACTTATGCACATACATGTCCATATATATATATATATGCATATACATCTACATAAACATGCACACGTATACATAGACATACACATGCACGTGCACATGCCTATATTCATATGCATATACATACACATGTACAAATACACATATGTACTAGAGAGATATGCATACACACATACGTATACATATATGTATATAGATATGTATATGTCAATATCAACTTGTATATGTATGTATACATATATATGTATATATATATATATATATATATGTCTGCTCGTATGTGTCTGCCTGTCTATCTATCTGAATCTATCCATCTATGCATCTATTTCTCTCTTTCTCTCTCTCTATATATATACATATGTATATATGTATGTATGCATATATATCTATATTTTCATGTATATGCAGCCCCCGCACACATCTACGCTTTTGAGGACCTACGACACAACTGATGTCCTGCAAAGGCCACCTCCTGGCAAACCCATCACACAACTGGAGCACTGAAATATCCACCTTTTTGAAGACCCAAAACACAATTGCGCAGAAGATCTCATCAAAAGCAAGATACAGCCAGTAAGTATTGCTTGCAGTGTGTTTCTTTAAAGCAAACCCTGTCTACCCCCAGTATGAATACGTGGTGGAGTTAGAATAGCAAAATGTAAGAAGCCCATCATGTCAAAATACATCTAACAAGTATTATCTGTACTCGCCTTTCTTGCATGTACTTGACCACAACCGCAGGAGGAAATAAAAGTCTGCCCAAAGTCTAATGGTAGATCTCAATGACCTAGAAATAGAACTAATGCTACAAGAAGATTCCTGTGAGATAATTATATTTTGTAACCAGAAAATAGGTTTCATCCTGGCAGTGCTCAAGTGGAGCACATGATAGTTTACAGAAAGCACAAGCCACGCACGAAATCTGTTGGAAACATTTAATGCGGTAGGTAAATCAGAGGAAGAAAATATGATAAAATGGAATGAGGGAGGTGAATGAAACGGAAGCATGATTTCATTCCGTGGTGTTTTTTATCACAGCACCCAGACAAGATCGGAAAACACTGCGCACTTTCCACCTTGGGCTATTTCCTTTCAGCTCCAGGTCTAACTTTCACTCCGGGCACTAGTTGTGAAATCTGTTTTCTTTGGGTTACTGTTTCGATCACTTTGTGCTGTTCTATAATGACGTGAGGCGTAAGCATGAAACAAGCACAGAGGAGAAGCGAAATACGAACGGACACAGCTTTTACATGTAACTGTTGACACCAGATCATAGTGTAAGTCCTGGTTGTTGGGTGTCTTGCACTTGGAATCACTTCTATCTTCTAGCGAACTAATCTTTTCCGTATAACCTTACTCTTTACATATAGGTCTTCAGGAGATAGCCGTCTTCAAGTGACTAAAGGTCACCATGAATTTCAATGTCTTCTAGGGGTGGAATGTGAGTGAACGGTTAGGGCAATATATGAATATCAGCGTAAGGAACGCGCGGCTCCTTTCACACCCTTTATTTCATTTCTTGGGTGACAGCGCGAGCGGAACCTCAATGTTATTTGAATGAAACGAAGGGTAGGAACGCGGAAGCACGGCTTTGTTTTACTTCATTAAAACTTGTGTGTTTTGCCATGCCCGTTTCGGTTTATTTTGGCAAGTGACAGAAGAGTGCTTGTTTTTTAAGTAGAGAGCAGAAACAATTGAAGAGAGAGAGAGAGAGACGTGTGCTGGGGGCCTGACAAGCCTCCTGAACCC